GACCTGGGGAGGCCCTGACGCCCGCCAGTGAGAAGGGACCCCAGCCCTCCCACGTGCGGCCTCCTGCCTTTCCTGAATTCGAGGGGCAGACGGATGCGTGGGGCCCACTTCTTCATCCACTCAAGTCTTGGTCAACCAGATGAAACCCACCTGGCCCCACGGGTGAGGGACGCCGGTGCCCACAGCTGAGGGGGCCGGTGAGCTGGGGACTCGGTCCCCACTGGGCCCTCAGTCCCCCCCGAACAGACCTGAAAGTATTCAAAGGCCAAACCGCACTACCGCTCGCTGAGATGCAGGTTGCGCGACAACCACGGGGAACTGTTTCCCTGCAGTCAGACCGAGCAGCAGCGTGGAGCGCGTGGTCAGTTCTAGTGGACGCGGTTCTCCAAAGAGCGCGAGCGACGCCCCACTCGCAGGGTCACTCTCCGGCCAAACGACCCGGCATTTGCCCTTCACCCCCGGCTAAGAGGCGGTTTCCAACGTGCAGTCTTTATTTTCACCATCAGTCTATTGATCGTTCCGCAAGGATAATGTTTCCCGCAGCCCGGAGTTACCCGCCACGGGGGTGCCAAACCTTGCTTGGGCAGCCGGCACGTCTGAATTTACCCTAATTAGAACCGGCTGCTCCGGGCTGACCGAGACCCTAGAGGCAGAGTCAGGGCACGCGTAAGGAGTGAATTTTGTTTGCTCCAGAGTCAATACTCTTCCATTCGGCTTATGACAACCGAGAATGAATCACGGAGCCCCCCGCTTTGTTTCAGAAGTAATTCTGAGCAGTTGTCCCTAAATACGAAACACACGTGGCGTTATGTACTCAGCCCCCTCAGCCCCTTCCAGGCGCCCTTTCCGCACGGGAAGCTTCGATCCTCCGACCACTGCCAGCCGGGCCAGCGGGTGCAGGACGGTGCAGGGGCACTGCCCAGCGCCGAGTCGCCGGAGAAAGCTCAGCCCTGGGCGCTGGCGCGAGCGTGGCGGGAGGGGAGGCGGGCGGGAGGCCGTCATGGCCCTGTGTGGGCCCTGCCAAGGGCGTCCGCTGCCACGGAGGCGGCCCTCAGCCTGGCGGGCCACCGGGGATTCGTGGACGAGCGTGACCGAGCAATGTTAAGTTCACCGTGAAGAGATTCCCGGCGGGACCCTGCAGGCAGGCGCAGGCCAGGGCTGTGACCAGGGTGGGTGGGCAGCTGGAGTCCGCGAGGACTCCTTGTGGGGTGTCTGAGGGGAGACGCGGGGTGCTTATGGGGGGCGCAGAGTCCATGCTTTTCCATTCGGCTTACGATTTGCCTTTTAGAAATTTCGCTTAGAAATTTCGAGTGGGGTCGAACGTTGTGCGCTGAGAACGACCGTCCGTGTCCCCTCCCTCTTGTCTCCCGAGGCCTTGCAGTGACAGAGCGGCAGGAGGGCGCCGTTCTGCGGCTCTTCCTTACCCTGAGGTTTTCTCCGCACTCAGGCCAGTCACTCGCGGCTGTCCCCGGGGATGGACGTCCCGCGAGCCTTGTCGCTGTGCCTGCGGCCACTCGCCACCCTGGACTTCACGGCGAGGTGGGAACTTGTCCACGGGCAGTGACGTGGCTGCGGGAGCCCACGGCACAGGCCTCGGGCCTGCCCGCCTGTCCACGGGCTGGGCCAGGCGACGGCAGCGTGGGTGGGGCTTCACCAGACGGCTGCTCACGGGGGAAAGAGAACCAAGACAGACAAGGAAGAGTGTGCCGGCCACCACGCTGGCCCGCCAAGACTGCCCAGGACCGGCCTCCCGCTCCGGGCAAAGCTCTTTTGAAAATGGCGGGAAAGTCTGACCGTCCTCAGCCAGTGTCCTGCGTCTCAGACCCACCTCCCGAGGCGCGTTAAAACCCTAAAATCCTGTGAGCACCCTGCCCTGGGCTTCCATTCTGAGGCGTCACCAAGGCTCTGCCAGGGTCCGGCCCTGGCCTGGCCTCCTGGGACCGGCCGTCGCTGGTCCCGCGGTGACCTCCGCATCCCACGGCCGGAGGACGGTTTCCTGCATGGCGGGCAGAGG